TTCAGCAGAAGCCAGGTACCTCAAAAAGCTCAGAGTAAGAAATGCAGGAACAAGCAGGGACTTGATATCAACCCTCTCCCTTTTCCAGACTCAGCAATAAGTAGCCACTGATGAAATGTGGATCTAGGAACCAGAAAAAAAATACCCTGAAGTAAATAAAGAATTCAGATAGTAAGGGTGAGGCTCAACTTCCTGCAAAGAGTTGAAGGAAATGACCACAAGAACAATTATTCTTAGTAAAGGTTTTGTTCTGATTTAGCTTTGAGTCTTCTTGATTTTAGACAGAATTTACACATAGGCAAGAATCAGAAGTTGCCCTTTTATAAAAACAAAGGCATCAACACAAGCTTTTTGGCACAGGCTGACTTGGAGACTTGGACACAGCTTCTCACAGGGGAGTTAATGAACCTGTACTCAAGATGAGTCATTCTCTTGAGATCATTCAATGGCATCTTTATCCTCCTGAAGGACTGGCAGAAATCTGTAGGATCCTAATCAGAAAAACACGCTCCTTGCTGCTTCCCCACTACTATCTTCAGAAATACCACAACCTTGAAGACATCTGTATGTCAGACATGGGAATGAGCTGAGTCCCAGCGTGTGAGAACAGGTAAGAAAGAGCTGAAGTGCTCCAGGAGAACCCAGCAAGCACCAGGAGCACTCCAGCAGCACTGCGGAGTTCCCTTTGCCAGGCTAAAACCAGCCCCAGTGCTGTGCTCCTGCACCCACGCTCCACTGAGTGCCCTCACCTGCATGACAAACTGCTGAACGTGAGGTCAGCAGCATAAAATATGGAAGAGTTGAACTGTTTGAATGGTCCAGGCCCACTCAGTTCCTCCCAGGTGCATCTGAGCATGAACATGTTACCAAACCACGTTTAGCACAGCCTTCCATGGGGAAACCACGAGAGGTCACAGCTCAGCATCCTTACTCAAAGATGGCAGCAATCTCCTCTCTATGTCTCTACTGAAATTATAAAACATGGCAGAATCCAACTACAGGGAGTAATTCTGGACATTTTAATGGCACGTAGCTGCCATCTTTCAGCAGCAGCAGCCTGCTAGCCTGATAAGTGTCCAGCAGATCACAGACCCACGGGTGACACGTGGCCAGGTGTGAAATCCTAGCACAGCCTGGGCATTAAAAGATCTTCTGTACTTTATTTTAATGGTTGGTGGTTAGTCTAAGCTCTTACATGCTGAACTGTATTTTTTTGAATGTATCACTCTGAAATACCCATACAGACATGTTTTGAGCTGTTACAATGATTAAATTTACATCCACGTCAAAATATCAGACTACCAGGCAATCCAGTATCTACAGGCCATTGGAAGTGTTATGGCATGCATAAGGGTGAGAGAAACCCAAAATTTCAAGAAAACATCAATAGTGAACACATGGGTAGTTTGCTCACGTGGAAGATGTGACCTCTAAACCACACTTTGCTGACAAGATCAGCCACGTTTCAGTTGCTCTGTACCTGGTACAGCCACACAAAGTGCCTTGGAGAGCACGAAACAATTCACAGGCATAATGAACATCCCTGTACATCGTTATGCCTGGAAAAGGCATTAACCCTCTTCCTCATTTTACAGCTAAGGACAAAGACAGACCTTGTACTGCATGAGCATCTCTCTCCAGCCTACTCATATGAATGTACAAGTGGGAGAACCCCTGAACCCTGCCAGCTTTCTCCTGCAGTGTGCGGCTGGGGCTGAGCAGGGGAGGGGAGAACGTTCCAAACAGGCACGTGCCTGATAGCCAGGTCCTGACCCAAAACAGCCTCTGCCAGCACATCCCACGGACCCGTCCCGAGGGCAGGGTAGAAGACAAAGAGGAGAAAATAGAATCTAGCCCCAAACCTATTTCCAGATTCTGGGAAGAAGGGCAGAAGAGAGAACAAAACCTGAAGCAGCAGCAGTGTAGTAATAAGCAACTCCTCTGCTTTTCAAGAGATCTTCAAAAGTGTAACACTCATCACTTAATAGCAAATCCCAAAAGAAAAAGTATTTTTTTCTTCCTCTCTTCTGTTTGTAATTTTCCCAAGCTGACAGGAAGCTATTTTTGTTTAGCATGTACACTTCATGCCAGTACATACCCACAGAACTTTGTCCATGTGGAATTCTGTACCACACAGACACTATTCATTAAATCATTGTGGGTGACATTCTGGCTAATAAGTCTAATTCATATAATCAAGTGGGATTTAAGACCATTATGTCTTAACTGGAAGCATACAATACTCAGGTTCTTTTGGAAATTTTACTTGGAGAACTTCACAGTGATGTCACTTTGCAACACAGACTAAATCTGGCACCAGGATCACATCTGTCTTCCTTGATTCCAGATGTGACAGAGTATCCCAGGTTACCAGATTTCAAAAACCTTGAAGGCAGACAGAGAAAAGGGGGAGACGGGGAGAGGGCAGAAGAGACCCAAGTACAAACCTCTGATCTGTCTATCAATCACTCTCATTTCTTTCCTTATCTTCAAGGACCATTCATTGACCTTAAAAAGAGAAAGCGAGAGTTACTTGAAATTCCAACTCAAATATGAAGCAGAAACACTTCAAAAAGCACAAGCTTTTAAGTTGTGACTGATGTTTAAACATTTCATTATTCAAATAATAAAAAAGCCACCCCACATTGCTGAGCTACCTCTTGGCATTCAGGCAAGGGGCTGAGGAGGACAGGAGCTGTGAGCCGCAGAACCCGCTGCCTGGCAGCACAGCGATGCTGCTGTGCAGGGGAACTGGCCACAGGGCACTTCAGGATGACCAGAGACTCTGGCACAGGGAGACAGCACCAAGAGTGCTACTACCCATTTCAGCCAGAAGGACTCCAAGCCAACTTCCTCCTCAGGAGGAGCAAGTTCAGAGCTCAGACAGGTTGTTCGGGGCCTCGTTTTGGTTCTGATGCTGTCTGAGGGCAGAGACTTCACAGCCACTGGGCTTCTGTTCCAGCACATCATCACTCCTGTGAAGACCTCTCTTCATGTCCAACTCAAAATTCTCCTCTGCCTGTAGTCCCTCTCCTGTCAAAGGGAACACCTGAAAAGTGCCTGGCTCTGTCTTCACTCCAACCCCACCAGAGGCAGTGAAAGGCTTTAGACACCTGTCCCTTCACCTTCCTTTCTCCAAGCTAAAACAAGCCCCGTGCCCCCAGCTCCTCATCCTGTGTCCCGAGCCCATCTTGGTCACCCTCTGACATGCCCTCCCCAGTCTGCCAACACCCTCCTCACACGGGGTGCCCAAACTGGGAGAGCGTTTTGCAGACGTGGGCTCCCTAACACCAAAGGTGGCAGAGCCCCTGCAGTGCCACGTGCCCCACGACGGGCACCGCTGGCTGCTGCAGCCCGGCGCGCCCTCACCGCTGTGCATCCTCACCCATGGGAGCCCCAGGCCCTCTCCCCCAGAGCTGCTGCCCCCCCAGCCCCAGGGCACACGTCCCTCTGTGCAGGGATGGCTGTCCCACGAGCACAGCTTTGTGCTCCTCCTTGTGGAACAAGGCCACGTTTTGACTACAGACAACCACCAGCATCCCAGGTGCTGAAGCAGGTAATCTGCTGAAAAAGACCCCAAACACTGAGAGCAGAGCTCTGTGCATATACATTATGGATGTGCATAAGTTTTAAAGGCTTTTCAGCAAGCTCCTGTTCCTTTAGTTGAATCCTATTTTATTAGTGGGGAAAAAACACCAACCCAGCCCTTGTAGGACTGACTGCAGCTTCTCCACTTGTTCTTCAGAACAGAGCAGAAAATGTCACATAGAATTATTCCTCACCCTGATCAGAAGCTAAGAAGGTCCCTCTTTTGAGTGTGCTGACACTAGAGGGAAAAAAGCTCGGGCAAGAGACCAAGGTCAAACATGATGGAACTCTGACTGGCCAACTGTCACATCTCACATACCATCTTCCAGAGATTTGCTCCACAACTCATTTTCTGGGACAAACCCACACGTATGAAGCCTTCATGTACAAGCACAATTGGCAACTGTCAAACGAACTACAGCAGGATTCAGAGATTGTCTCTGCCATGCCCAACCCAGCACACAGGCACTGCTAAACCCCAGCTGGCCGTGCTGTCACGGATCCCAGCTCTGGCAGCAGAACCCTGTGACAGCCCAGCCCTGGCACCGCCCAGGAAGAAGCTGCTTCCACGACTGTCCTGGATGGCTCCGCATTCCCGGAATTCCCAGAGCTCAGCACCCACACTGTGTGGAAGGGGAGGAGGAAATCCCATCGACTCCCATCTAGGCTCCAGGGGACAGGGCAATTCGCTGAGCAGGGATGAAGCTGCGGTGCTGCTGCCACACAGGACACCAGGGACAGGGCCACCAGTCGTGGCACCAGGCAGCGCAGGGCCAGCGGCGCCAGGGAGGGGACTCACCGGGCCAGCCGGGCAGGGCTCATTACCCCTCCCTGCTGGAGCTGTTCTGCTCCCACCTCTGGTGTGCACAGACCTGTCCTGACAGCACTGCCCCACACGGGAGTCAGCCAGCAAAGCACCACGCTGAAAGCAGCTGCTGGGGCTGTGCTGGAGGGAAACACTTCTGGAGCTCTGACAACCAGACGTGGTGTTAGGTGTACAACAGAGCCCAGCTTCGGACAGGCTGGGACGTGTCACCAGCTCCTCACAAGGGCTGAGGGGCTTTGCCTTCTACTGTCCACCAGTAAATCCTCTCCCATCGACAGAGAGGGAGCACAGGACAAACCCAGGGCAGCCACTGCCACCACAGAAACCTCAGCCTCTCCCCACCAGCAGCCACCTCCCGTGGTGCCTGGACTGCCCTCTCCAGCTCTGCTCAGGGACAGTATCTGTGCACAGCTGCTGCCAGACAGGAGGTGAGTGGTGCTGCTTCCCCATCATCCAGTAAGCAGAAGCAACTACTTCTTCTTCCTTCTAAAGCTGCAGTTAGACAAGGGAGGGAAGAAATCCCTGACTATGAACAGGTTCCTCAGTATCACTGTTCAGGCCTGGGAAATCACCGTGCCAGCCTGCAAGCCAAGAGTGTGCCCAGGGCAGCAAGATGACCCACGTCCCTTCTCCTTAGGAGACAGACACCACTGCAGACAAAGAGCTCAAAGGTGACCCACAGACACGCTGTGTTATGGGCAACCCAAGAGGCTAGTCAGCTCTCAGAGGCAAAGGAGTGGTCATGAGACAGGAAACAAGGTCCCAGTGCAGCAGAAGCA